TACCTCCAGTGGCTCTAGTGTCAGAGCCAGGGACTAGAATTCAATCCTGACTCCTGGTACAGTGCCCCTTAGTCTTTGTCGTTGTTTTGTTGTTGTTTGTTTTTTGAGACAGGCTCTCACTCTGTCATCTAGGCTGGAGTGCAGGGGCACGATCTTGGATCTTGGCTCCCTGGCCGAAGCAATCCTCCTGTTCCAGCCTCCCAAGTAGCTGGGACTACAGGTGCAAGTCACTACACCCAGCTAATTTTTATAGAGATGGATTTTTGTCATGTTGCCCAAGCTGGTCTGGAACGTCTGGGCTCAAGCCTGTAATTCTGGCACTTTGAGAGGCCAAGGCAAGAGGATTGCTTGAGCCCAAGAGTTCCAGACCAGTCTGGGCAACAAATCATGACCTCCTCTCTACAAAAAAAAAAAAAAAAAATAGCTGGGTGTGGTTGCACATGCCTATAGTCCCAGCTACTAGGGAGGCTAAGGTGGGAGGATCACAGTGAGCTGTGATGGCACCACTGCACTCCAGCCTGGGCAACAGAGTGAGACCCTGTCTCAAAAACAACAATAACAACAAACTGCTGTGACTTTGTGAGGGATTGTTAGTTAATATCTGGGTTGTTACTATCAGCCCTGAAAAAAAATCCCTGTGCTACTACTGCCTAGCTCTACATAGTCAGCCCACCCACTAGGGGTAGTTCTTTTTTTTTTGAGACGGAGTTTCACTCTTGTTACCCAGGCTGGAGTGCAATGGCGTGATCTCAGCTCACTGCAACCTCCACCTCCTGGATTCAAGCAATTCTCCTGCCTCAGCCTCCAGAGTAGCTGGGACTACAGGCACGTGTCACCACGCCCAGCTAATTTTTTTATTTTTTAGCAGAGACGGGGTTTCACCATGTTGGCCAAGATGGTCTTGATCTCTTGACCTCGTGATCTGCCCGCCTCAGCCTCCCAAAGTGCTAGGATTACAGGCGTGAGCCACCGCCCCCAGCCAGAACTCTAATTTTTTATGGTGATTTTCCTCCACTACCAGCAAGTCCTTAGGGAAAGTAACTCACAGATCCAACAGAGAGTAAATGGTGATTGGTCTAAGCTAATATTGGTGGTCATATTCTCTTTGGTATTTATTGGCTTATCCATGGTACATGAGGAAAAGTCTATTGAGTAACTACTAAGAAAAATCATAGTTTATTCTACATACGAGGGGAGATGTTTAGCTGGCAGTTAGATATGTAAGTATGAAATTGAGCATGGAGATATAATTTTGAGGCTATCACAGCACAGATAATATTTTTTATTTATTTATTTTTGAGACGGAGTTTCGCTTGTTACCCAGGCTGGAGTGCAATGGCACGATCTCGGCTCACCGCAACCTCCGCCTCCTGGGCTCAGGCAATTCTCCTGCCTCAACCTCCTAAGTAGCTGGGATTACAGGCACACGCCACCATGCCCAGCTAATTTTTTGTATTTTTAGGAGAGACGGGGTTTCACCATGTTGACCAGGATGGTCTCGATCTCTTGACCTCGTGATCCACCCGTCTCGGCCTCCCAAATTGTTGGGATTATAGGCCTAAGCCACTGCTCCCAGCAGCATAGATAATATTTAAGTAATGTGATGGAATAAGATTATCAGGGAGTGTACATGGAAAAGATAAAAAATCTAAATATTGAGCCGTGAGGTACTACAATATTTAGAGGTCAGAGAAATGAAGAGAAACTAGGAGTAGCCAGTGAGATAGAAGACCCAAGGGAGTGGAATGTCATGGTAGCCAAGGAGGGGGAATTAATGAGTTGTGTCTAGTGATGTGGTAGGTCAGGTAACACAAGGATTGAGAATTGACTGGTGTCAGCAAATGGACATCACTAGTGACCTTGACAAGAGCATTTCAGTGGAGTGGAGGAGGTAAAAGCTTAACTGGAGAGGATCTCACTGAAAATGAAAAAAAGGAAGTCAAGGCCAGGAGAGGTGGTTCATGCCTGTAACCTTAGCATTTGGGGAGGTGGAGGCAGGTGTATTGCTTGAGGTCAGGAGTTCGAGACCAGTGTGGGCAACATGATGAACCCCATCTCTACCAAAAATACAAAAATTAGTTAGACATGGTGGCACATGACTGTAGCCCCAGATACTTGGGAGGCTGAAGTGAGCTGAGGTGGCACCACTGCACTCCAGCCCGGGCAACAGAGTGAGACCATGTACAAGCCACCTTTGCGAGGCATTTTGCAGAAAAGAGAATGGAGAAATAGGGCAGTGGTTTGGGGGCAGGGAGATCAAGTCTAGTCAAGAGACAGTTTTTTTGGTTTGTTTGTTTGAGATGGAGTCTCACTCTGTCACCAGGCTGGAGTTCAGTGGCATGATCTTGGCTCACTGCAAACTCCACCTCCCGGGTTCAAGTGATTCTCCTGCCTCAGCCTCCCGAGTAGCTGGTACTACAGGCGTGTACCACTATGACCTGCTAATTTTTATGTTTTAGTAGAGAAGGGGTTTCACCATATTGGCCAGGATGGTCTCGATCTCTTGACCTCATGAGTTGCCTGCCTTGGCCTCCCAAAGTGCTAGAATTATAGGCATGAGCCACCTCGCCCAGCCAAGAGAGGGTTTTTCGTTTGATTGTTTTTTTTTTTTTTTTTTTTTTTTTTTTTTTTTTGAGACGGAGTTTCGCCCTTGTTACCCAGGCTGGAGTGCAATGGCGCGATCTCGGCTCACCGCAACCTCCGCCTCCTGGGCTCAGGCAATTCTCCTGCCTCAGCCTCCTGAGTAGCTGGGATTACAGGCACGTGCCACCATGCCCAGCTAATTTTTTGCACTTTTAGTAGAGACGGGGTTTCACCATGTTGACCAGGATGGTCTCGATCTCTCGACCTCGTGATCCACCCGCCTTGGCCTCCCAAAGTGCTGGGATTACAGGCTTGAGCCACCGCGCCCGGCCCGTTTGATTGTTTTGAAATGGAAGAAATAAATACATGTTGCTATAGCAATGAGAAGTAATAGAAAAACAGTGATGCAGGAGAGAGGAAGAATTGCTGGGTAAGTGTCTTTGAGATAGTGACATGGTATGAGACATAGTTCTTGAGCTTCTCAAAGTGTGATCAGTGAAGTAGTGACCGTCTAGAAATGGTTTGTCACCAGTTTGTGACAGTAATTCAGAATTGGTATTTTGAAACTTTTATAACAATTTGCCAGAAAAATTTTGTGTGTGTTGGATTTAATAATACAAATTCTGCCTAGAGTAGTCAAATTCATAGAGATAGAAAGCAGAATAGTGATAGCCAGGGATTGTGGCAAGTTAGGAATGGGGAGTTGAGTACAAGCTTTCAGCTTTGGAAGATAAAAAAGTTCTGGAGGCCAGGCACATTGGCTCACGTCTGTAATCCCAGTGCTTTAGAAATCTATGGCAGAAGGATTACTTGAGCCTAGGAGTTTGAGACAAGCCTGGGCAGCAGGCTTTAATGTAAAGACTCTACAATTAAAAAAAAAAAAAAAAAAAAAAAAAGCCAGGTGTGGGTGATATGTGCCTATAGTCCTAGCTGCTACAGAGGCTGAGGTGGGAGGATCGCTTGAGCCCAGGAGTTTGAGGTTGAGTGAGCCGTGATTGTGCCACTGCACTTCTGATGGGTGACAGGGCAAATAAATAAATAAATGAAAAAGAAAAAGTTCTGGAGCTTCTTGATGGGGATGGTTGCACAGCAATGTGAATGTATTCAATACCACTGAACTGTACACTTTAAAATGGTTAAGCTCGTTTAAAAAAACCTCGGCTTTCATTTTGGAAGCTTGTTTTCAAATTTTAATTATTTTCTAGTAATTAATTTTGATTATAATTTACAGAAATTTAGGTTTGTGATCGGTGATAAAACCTGGGTCTTTTAGCACAGATTCTTGAGAACTGAGGAGGGTTTGACGTTAGCTAAAAGAATAATTCACCTGTAGTAAGGAAAGGAAGGCAGAAAGAGTATCAAAGCAGAGATACAGGTTAGTTGAAACTCATGGTGAGTGCTGATAACTTGTAGATGTTCTTTTTGGTTTGTTTCATTTTTCTAGTGAATTGAAAGCAAAATCATCAGCTAAATGAGGATGAGGGAGGAAGTGTTGGAGGTTTTAAGAGACAGGAGACTAGAAATAGTTACGTAGCAAGGTAGGAGGAGAGTGTGTGAAACTGGAGGAAACGCGGTAGTGTAGCCACGCATGATGGCCCCTTAAGAATAATGATCTCAAATTTACCAGGAGTCAGTCAACCACTTTTGGCTTTTTCTTCACCCACTCCACTGCTGGAGTTCCGTCCGTACAAAGAAAGCAGAGAACGACTGGATAAATGAAGGTAATACTGAAGAAATCGACTTCATATACCTCATGTACTCACTTTCTTCCTGAAACAGCTTAGATTCTATTAGATTCCATTTCATGATGGAGAATAGAATCTAAGCTGTTTCAGGAAGATAGTGAGTACATGAGGACAGTGTGGGGCAGAATAGCGAAAGGTAGCTGGATCTATGGATTTGGGGTCTTGGGGTTGAAGTTTTTGGAGTTGGAGTATTATCAGAGCGAGTGAAGTAGAAAGGAGGTTCTGATGGGAGTTAGAGGATTAAAATTGAGATTGTAGAGGAGTTACAGTTATTCGTATGAGCATGAGAGTGAGAGGCTGAGCCAAGAATGATTCCTACAGGAGAATCTGAGAGGCCAGAGGATTGGAAGAACTAAGCGAATGTTGAAATCAACGAGAATTATGACAACAGTAGTAATGAATAACAGTGTACTAGAAGCCCAAATCTTAAAGAATGATGGTGAGTGACAGAGGGGTCTATAGGTGACGGAAGCGAGAGGTGCTGTAATCTCTTGTCATGAAGCAATATTTAAAGCTCTTCCTATTTTGAAGGGAGGCTAGGATTTGGGTGTGTGTGGCTCCTTTAAGAGCCGGAGAAGGGGAGAAGCTGGAGGGCGGGCTGGAGGGGGCGGGACCCCTCGGCTGAGTCTGCGTATTGAGAGTGGAGGCGGGGCCAAGCTCGGGCTCGCGCGCCCGGGCGGGTCCTCGCGGGGGCGGAGTCTGCACTCGGGTTCTGGCTGCGGCTGCGGCTGCTGCACTTCTACCTTCTGCGGGAAAGAGGCCGAGGCCTGGGCCAAGCCCGGAGCCGCCGCTCGCCGGAGCCTCCTGGAGCCTCCGCGTCGGCTCAGCCTGGAGGCGGGCTCCGGTCCGGCCCGCCACCGCATCCAGGACGGAGGCTGCACGCCCGAGGACCAGGCCGGCGCAGCCATGGTGAGGGAGCCAGGCCTGCCCTAGCCGCAGCCGCCCGCCACCCTGGCCCCCGCCTGCCGCGCTAGCCCCTGCAGGCATGCCCCTCCCTGTCTCTGGTGTCCTCTCGGCCTCTCTGTCTTCACCTCTCTCCCTCTCGGTGTCCAGTTCCTCCTTCCCCGTGCTCCCTCATCCACCTGCTGGGGTGAGCGCCTTTAGGTGACACCCCCTGAATCTCCCTTCTCCCCAGTGACATCCTTTTTATCATCCCCAGTGACAGCCTTTTTAGCATTCCCTTTGTCGCCCACTCCTCGTCCTTTAACCCTAACCCTTCCTTCCTTTCTCATCTATCATTTTGCCTTTTTTTCTTTTTATGTGATTTTTACTTTCCCCCCCTTTCCTCCCTATTTTTGGCTGCTCTTTCTTGCTCTTCTCACCCCTCTTCACCATTTTATCTCCACTGCCCCCTCCTTCCGTGTTCCTTCTCCCCTTCGTCCTCTCCCATCCACGTTTCCTCTTCCCTTATCGGATGTCCTCGCTCGGCTCGCTTTCACAGCTGTCCCCATTTCCTTCTACGGGCTTCAGGGGTCTAAGCAGGAACAATCTGAGGACTGTTGCTTCCCGGGAGCTGCAGGGCGGGCAGATAGGAATTTGTAGGCTTGCTTCTTCCTTTCCGTTTTTGGAGGCATTGAAGAGATCTTGGAATCCTATTACCTAGTGTCATCGCAAAACCGGAGTGGTGGTGTGTTAGAGCCACGAAGTGAGGGCCAGCATGCATACTGTGACCTTAGGAGAGAGCTAGTCTTTTGACAGAAATAGCTTAAAATTGTTTCGATTTTTTTTGAGGGGGGGGCATCTTTTAATGTGGAGGTACGGTTGGGGAAATTTAAAAATACTTATTTACAAGCTCGACTGTTATTACCTAAAACAAATGATTTGTTTTCATTTGGAGGCAGAGACCAAGGGCATTTGAGGACTGACAATCAGCTTGACAGGTTGTGATAGTCTCTTTAAACCTTCTAAAGAGTTCATTTGTTTGCCCTCTCTGCCTTTAGTTGGGAGAACCTTATGTTTGCAAATGTTCTTCTTTATGTTTGAAAACAGGTTGAGGCTTCAGTTGGTTTCTTTCATTGAGTTGGCTTCTAAGTGGTTTGCTGTACATTTATTGAAAACATTGCTCCATCGTCTGCAACAAGCTAAGTTTTGATCTCTGGGAGGAATAAGACATTCTAGTCGAAACTAAGTCCTGATAATCATGTTTTCCTAGTTTGTTTTTTTCCCCTTCATCTGTTTTTTAGAAAAGTGATTTACTGTAAAATTATTTAATCTATGAATTTTCCCTAACTTGCTCCTGCATTTTTAGGCTGTCATTTTCCTGTCTCCTTCACTTTCGCACACTGTCATTGTATATTAACCTGTTTCTCCCTGTGGAATGTAAATTCTAGGTAGTAACCATGTTTTACTTATTCCAAGTGCTCAGGCCAGCTAGGTGCTTAAATGATTCACTTTATATTCTCATTTCCCACCTGACTAGTATAAACTTAAACTGAAATTTGAGGTAACTAGTGGACTACACAGAAAGAGTGATTATGGGAATCGTTGTTTGGAGACGGTCTTGCTCTGTGGCCCAGGCTGGAGTGCAGTGGCACAATCATGGCTCTCTGCAGCCTTGAACTCCTGGGCTCAAGTGATCTTCCCACCTCAGCCTCACAAGTGGCTGGTACCACAGGCACGGGCTACTGTGCCCCGCTAATTTGTAAAATTTTTTGTAGAGATGGAGTCTCGCTGTGTTGCCTAGTCTGGTCTTGACCTCTTGGACTTAAGCCATCCTCCCACCTTGGCCTCTAAAAGTGCTTTAATTACAGGCATGAGTCATCATGCCTGGGCAGAGAATCTTAATTTTGGTGTAAAAATGATATTAGGTGAGGTATGATGATATACTCACCAGAATAAAAAGCCATCCTACCTAAGACATCACATTGGTAGATTTTTGAAAGTGTGGGTCCTTCCATTGGGAATGAATTTATGAGAGGGAGGAGTTACGAACTCCCCTTTTAGGTATTTAGGATCCCAAAGTGTCCTGGGATCCTAAATACCTGGGCCTGAAAGATGAATAGGATTTGTATGGATCATTTTGGGAAGGGGAAGAATGCTTCATTGTGAATGAGTAGGAAGTAGAAAGGATGCTCTCACAGGGATTTTTTTTTTTTTTTTTTTTTTGAGATGGAGTTTCGCTCTTGTTACCCAGGCTGGAGTGCAATGGCGCGATGTCGGCTCACTGCAACCTCCGCCTCCTGGGTTCAGGCAATTCTCCTGCCTCAGCCTCCTGAGTAGCTGGGATTACAGGCACGCGCCACCATGCCCAGCTAATTTTTTGTATTTTTAGTAGAGACGGGGTTTCACCAGTTGACCAGGATGGTCTCGATTTCTTGACCTCGTGATCCACCTGCCTCGGCCTCCCAAAGTGCTGGGATTACAGGTGTGAGCCACCGCGCCCTGCCGGGATTTTTTTTTTAAAGAAAGAAAGTAGGAAGGAATTAGGATGCATTATAGGAAGTAGTATTACCCTTATATAGCATGGAAGGATGCAAGAATGAAGATGTGTAGTAGGAAATGAGACTAGGAAGATACTGTCTTAGCCCATTCAATCTATTGTTACAAAAGACCATAAAGTAGGTAGCTTGTCAACAACAGAAATTATTTCTCAGGCTTCGAAGTCCAAGATCAATTCCCAGCAGATTCGATGTCTTGTGAGGGCTCTTCCTGATTCACCTTTTCACTGTTTTCACACATGGTGGCAGGGGCCAGACATGGAGCCTCTTCTTTTCTCTCTCTCTCTCTCTCTCTCTCTCTCTCTCTCTTTTTTTTTTTTTTTTTTTTTTTTTTTGAGATAGAATTTCTTTTGCCCAGGCTGGAGTGAAGTGGCATGATCTTGGCTCACTGCAACCTCCGCCTCCCAGGTTCAAGCAATTCTCCTGCCTCAGCCCCCTGAGTAGCTGGGATTACAGGTGTATGCCACCACACCTGGCTAATTTCTTTGTGGTTGTAGTAGAGATGGCGTTTTACCATGTTGGCCAGGCTGGTTTTGAACTCCTGACCTCTGGTGATCTGCCCACTTCAGCCTCCCAAAGTACTGGGATTATAAACGTGAGCCAACATGCATGGCCTCGGAGCCTCTTTTAAATGAGGGTGTTAATCCCATTCATGTGGGCTCTACACTGGTGATCTAATCACTTCCCAAAGGCCTCACCTTCTTATGTCGTTACCTTGGGGGTTAGGATTCCAACATAGGAATTTAGGTAGACACAAGCAGTCAGACCACAGCACATATATTAGGCATGATTATGTTTTAGACCTTGTGTCTAATTAACTTGATTTTTCCTTGCTTGTTAAAACATGTACACGCAGAGTAAGAGTGTATGTACGGGAGAGGTGAAGAGAAGGCAAAATATTAGCTTAGTATGAGCTAGGAATAGTATTGGTAGAGGCTACTTTTCCTCATGCAATATTTTTAGTAGATAATCAATATAGTTGAATGAGTGTTACAAAGCTTTGCATTTTTTGTTAAATGTTAATTAGGTTGTGTTTAAATGGTTGAGACATTTAAGATGAATTCTTGGCCGGGTATGGTAGCTCATGCCTGTAATCCTGGTACTTTGGGAGGCCAAGGCAGGTGGATCACCTGAGGTTAAGAGTTCAAGACCAGCCCAGCATAGCCAATGTGACAAAACGCCATCTCTACTAAAAATACAAAAATAAGCTTGGTGTGTTGTCATGCGCCTGTAATCCCAGCTAGTCGGGAGGCTGAAGTAGGAGAATTACTTACCTGGGAGGTGGAGGTTGCAGTGAGCTGAGGGCAGGACATGAGTGTTTGCTGTTTTTTTTTTTTTCCTGAGCAGGATCTTGCTGTGTTCCTAAACTGGAGTTCAGTGGCATGATCACAGCTTACTGCAGCCTTGACTTCCCAGGCTCAAGCAATCCTTTCACCTCAGCCTCCCAAGTAGCCTTCCAAATAGCTGGGACCACCATCACACCTGGCTAATTTTTGTATTTTTTGTAGAGACGGGGTTTCACCATGTTACCTAGGCTGGCCTCGAACTTCTGGGCTCCAGTGATCCTCCCACCTCAGCCTCCCAGAGTGCTGGAATTATAGATGTGAGCCACCATGACAGTTGGTATTTCTTTCAGAAACCCATCTTGATGCTGGTTTGTGAACCACAATTTGAAAACCACTGGTCTAAAACATAGTCCGTCCTTTCAATTAATCTAACAGTGTTTTTGAAGTGCCATTGACTGTGTTGACATTGGGGAAATCACAGATAGTAAAATAGATGTGACCGCTGGCATTTTTCATTTTTTGTATATAGAGCTATTTTATTTTATTTTATTATTTATTTATTTTTTGAGATAAGGTCTTGCTCTGCTGCCCAGACTAGAGTGCAGGGGCGTGATTATGGCTCACAGCAGCCTCAAACCCCTAGGCTCAAGGAATCCTCCCTGTTCAGTCCCCTGAGTAAAGCTGGGACTTGCAAGTGTACTCTATTATGTGCAGCTGATTTCTTATTTTTGTGTAGAGAAGATATCTCCCTATGGTGGTCAGGCTGGTCTCAAACTCCTGGTCTCCAGTGATCTGCCTGCTTTGGCCTCCCAAAATGCTGGAATTACAGGCATGAGCCACCACATCTGGCCTGTATAGAGTAATTTTAAATGTGAAGAGTTTTAATACATCTTGAGTGTGCTGGAAAAGGACAAGTTGATAGCTGGGCATGGTGGTGCATACCTGTAGTACCATCTAGTCTAGATCCTAAGGTTGGCTCACTTGAGCCCAGCAGTTCAAGGCTGCATTGAGTTGTGATCATGCCTCTGCACTCCAGCCTGGGCAACAGAGTGAGACCTCATTTAAAAAAAAAAAAAAAGAAAAGTTGTGGAATAATAGAATGGAATAATTAGGAGTGGCTTTGCAGAGGGTCTTACTTTCAAGTAGAGAACTGAGGGATTAAACTGTAGGAGTTATGTAAAGAATA